AAATACGCAACTGTTTGACTAAAAAATTAGAATAGAACGTGCATTAGCAATATCAATAAAACGTCTTTCGCTAGTGCGAAGAAATGGATTTCAAATGCAAAGGAAGAGTTCTAAGTAGTTCAATTGAATCAGCCCTTACGGTATTAAGGTGAGATATATAAAATATGTGAATCAGACGTGAGCAGAGATAACCTTGATACTGTTGTGTTATTAGGGAATGAATACAAGTCAACAGTGTCGTGTTTCTTCACGCAGCAGCAGCAGCTTGTGGAAGAAGAGCTGCAATCCGGTTAGTGCTGCTCGACCAGATGACCTGCTCAGCGAACAGCTGAGCTCGCTGTTACGAATCAGAGGGGTAACGCTACCACAAAAAATAAATAACACGTTTAAACAGGCCATAAATGCAATTGAATATGAACACGTTTAAATTAGTTTGTTTCTGGATATTACACGGTTGCTATCAAATGCTAGAATATCTGAGGCATACTAGTGATCTAAGTCATTGACTATTTAAGGCGCATACTATTGATTAAAGCCATATTTCTTAAAATGACATATTTCTTGTTGGTGTCTGGTGATATGGAGAGCATGCGTAAGACCATCACTCAAAGAACTGACACTTCCTGCTTTTCTAAATTAAGCCTAGTAAAATTCTTAGTCATCTATGGCTCTTATGCATGTCGAAAAGGCTGCCGAAATTTGGTAAACGCTTAGTATTGCAGTTAATGCTAATAAAATGGGGGTCGTACTGTTCCATTGATGGGCTCATTTTCTATTGTCACATACTACTAAATAGTTGCAAGTGTATTTTTAGAGAACGATGAAATGACAGTCGTGCTTGACAGCTGCTAGACACTGAACGAAAGTCTCAATTTTTCTATAAGGCGCTGTTGATGCCAATGCTGTGTTTGCACTTCAAATAGAGGAAGCTGGCTATTCGAATATATATCATACGGCTCAGATGATCCAAAATGATGCTCTGAAACCAATGTTTGGCAGGAACCGCTACAGACGACTTCCTTATGTCGAACGGACTACTCTATGTGGATAAAATATACTGCACATTCCCTGCTCTATTTGCTCTCAGAACGCCAAGAGTGTGATTCTGTCGTAGATCTCTTTGCCGCTTACCGTCCTTTTAAGTAGTTCCCACCATCGTCTTGCCGCGTACAATTTTTTATTCTTAATTTATTTAGTAAACATGGTTTTGCTCGCTATTTACTGTCAACCTGGGATTTCCTCCCTTGCGAGATTCAATCACTCAGCTCAGTAAAAGATTATATGAGAGAAATTTTAGAACATGTATATAGGATGCAAATTGGACAATATTTATAAAAGGTGAACTTATAATTACGTAAAAATGTTTGCTGTAACTACTGATTGTGACAATGTTATAGTAATACGACAATCAACGGTTAGAGTTTCCGTTTGGATGTACCCGTAGGAACATAATGCACGCGGTATACATAATTGTTATGATGTAAAACGTCTCGTGCAATGTATCACTTTTTATTACTATTCCTGTTTGAATTTAAGTATTGACAAAGTCACAGTTCTGTGAATAAGAAAGGATTCATATCGTATTGTAATGAATTCTCGAATGAGCGGAATTTTATTCAGAGTGGCCCATTCTTGAACTTGCTTGCGACAGACTTAATGTCGCACCGTACCACCGAAACACTTTATACGCACGCGAAATCCTTGAAAGAACACTTCTCAGGTTACAACTAAATGCACTGGACGCATTCTAACATATGATATATTTGCGTATAAACAACTTTGTACATATGACAGCGTTTTCGATCTCACAACTAAGCCTACGTTAAGAACAGGTATGACCTCATAGTTGTCTACTATGTAGGGACATACTGCTCTATGAAACCATTCGACTATAACAAACGCCTTGGTGGATTTGCTCTAAAGTCGACTACGTATTAGAGTTTTTACAGGTTGGTTATCGCAAATGCGCGGAATTACAAAAGGTCATTCATATCAGTAAGGTGGAAGACGTTAATTACCTCGCGACCCAGATCAGAAGGGCATGTACTCTCTGTTCTTTTCTTCGGGCAAAATTCCAAAGCGGCAAATTATATTACTGCGAAGAAAACCGGTCAAGAAGATGCAAAACTCTCGGCTCTTCCGCTCCATATATCACAGCGCCCAATCGTCGAAAGCCGACGATGCATTTATAAAAATGAAGCGGCCGGGAACATTGCCTACAACGTGGCCAGGAGGATGAAGCCTTTCAATCTTCAGCTTCAAGCTGAACAGCTGGGCTACGGCCAACGGACTTCACCCGCCCTAACAGTCGAGAAGTTCGTAAACTAGGCTGTAGTAGTATTGACGACTGGATTGGCCAGCTCCAGTACTTTGAATTACCGTAGCTGCTCGGTAAGGATAGGAGTTTGCAGGAGGGTCGGACCTCGAAGAGAAGTTAATAATTAGACGGTAAAACTGTAAGGGGCGGCAACTTTGGCGTCCCTCTCCCTGAAAGCCCTAGGCAGTATAGACATCTTCGTGATAACGGAGACTGGCACAACTACCCTTTTTAACTTACCGCGTTTCCATTCTGTGCGTTGTCCTGCAATGAAACGCATTGGACCCAGCCGCCTTAGTAGAGGCATCCCCGTTCCCTTCAATTATAATATAGGCGACTCTACGCCGCGTCTAGTGGAAAACAACGCCATTACTTTGAGCGACTAGCGACTGAACCTCATCACACCCCATGTTCGGCCGGCTCATTCAGAATCAATGACGTACTAAGAGAGAAATTCGTCAGTGGACTAAAAACGCTATTCTCTTAATTTGCGTTTTCTTTAGTCATTACCGGCCACTTCGACGTTCTTTGCGACCAACTGAACTCAAGCCACATTATAAAAACGCTGCAAAACACGCTTGCAGACTTGATTGCTGAGTATGCAGGGAGTTTGCTTTTCGATATATTTGTGACGAATGTAACCAAAGATAAATCTTTAGGATAAGAATCATTTTCTCTTAGTGAGTATAAGCATTTCTCCATTCTCACATACAAATGGCAATAAACCTCACTGTCCAAGTTGCATTCGCGTTGGTTATCAACAACAAACTTCCCCGTAACGCCTAGATGCACATAAGCTCCTAGGACGCACTCACGAAGTTTTGTAACTTACGTGGCGAATACTGAAACTTATACGCGACATTTTATTGAAATTCTCCAGTCTGCAGCCTCTCTATTCCCCCGAATGCATAGGTCGTCGTTCAACTATACTTACAGCCTTACCCGGAACCCCTAAATTATTTTCAGGTTCTGCTGAGGTACGGCCCGAACTTTATATTTTAGTCTTTGTGTTTGAGATGATCTGCTAAACGACGTGTGCGTCCCAATGGTAACAATACCTTGAACGGTTAAGCATTGCTTGGTCACCGATGCAGAAAATCTAATATACCACAGCAGCTCGGCGGTTTTCCCGATTAGCTTCTTGGCCCTCTATGAAATGTTTGCGTCCTAAAAAGCGCGGTGCTTTTTAATCGCAGCTTGGGAAAAAAATAGGTCTCAATACAAAGAGATGTCATTTAACAAGGGTAACTGCATTCACAGTGCAGTAACTAAAACAAAGTCCAGAGAGCCTACGCAAAAAGAGAAAGCCGCTGGTCCTAATAGGGCCTGCATTAAACATTTTATATACACACTAGTTCTGGCACCGTGCTGAACGACAGTTTTTGAGATACGTTTACATACTGGTATACTCCTAACTCAGTAAAAAGGTGCTTCCCTGCTAAAGGTCCCGAAAAGAAAAGGCAAACCCATTCGCGCCGTGCAGTCCGCTATACGCGGTGGCTGTAAACTTTGAGGCAACCTTCGACTCGACACGTAAAAACAAGGTTAAGCTCATGCCGGGCAAGGTGATTGTCCCTGTATATGTGCTCAAACTTCTCGTTGCGATTCTACAGAATAAGTATCAACGACGAAGCGCGCGCACTTCTGCATTTCATACAGACAACTGGCCTGACTCAGAAGGACAACCTAAGCCGTCCTTTAGTTTCCAACTGGTAAATAAGAGGGCCAGGCATATCAGTCGAAATCACCCTGTAGGCAGATAATTTAGTGAACGTGGGTCAAGCAAGCTTCAACCTGGCTCTTTGCGGCAGTCAGATTGGGACCGATGGTAAACTTGATCGAATGCGATAAACTTTAGATGGCGGATACTGACGCCTACCATGCCGAGTCGCTTTTTACCCACGTATAATGGCTTTGGTACCTTGGGTTGCTCTTCTGTGCAAACGACAAAGTTTCACTACTCAGATCACTGAAAATGCGGGAAGGCAGCTTTGGTCGCATAGCCGATCACATTGTTTCATCACATTCCTCGCAATCGCTCTCACAGATCAAGATCAAGATAGGTTTGATTACAACGTGTGGGATACGCGTCATTTAGGAAGAGCTTATAACGGAGAGCTTCGGATAATTGTGTTGAAGCCTGTTTTCTTGAAAGAGCACTGGGATTACAAATAGTGACCCCAAATCGCCTCGCACATTTTAGTTGACTCGCTACTGCTGTTTGAAAACCTACGTGACCGCTCTACGAAGCAAGTCTTCAAGACCAACTTAGATACTGGAAGCGAAAATTCATGATGATTTATTTGCTTCGAATATCGAACAACAAATGGAAGCAGACGAACCGGATAGACGGAAATGTTACTTGCTTCGCTGCGTATAGATTTCAGCATAGATTCTGCAAAAAACCACATTTCGATAAGTTTGTAAATTTTGATGGATCTTATGCCGTTTATTGCCGCCTGGTTCTATCCCTAGAATGCTTAGCGAATTTTTTAAAGTAGTTTTATAAACTCAACAAGACTCGTTTAACCCATATGATGCGGAGTGTCTTGAATTCTTTAAATGATTCAAAATTCAGCATTGGGATATTGTGTCGTCGATCTGTAATATATGAATTTTTTTTTGCTACTACAAACAATGGTCAATAAATAAATTTGTTTATATCAAAATAACGTGCACTAACTTCGTCCTTAATCGATGCTGTATAGTGGCAGCCGGAGTCTGTAAACTGTTTTGGTAATGAGGTTTCTTGACCGACTACTTAGACGCAAGCATTCTGTTATCCGAGTTGTGCTAGACAAGAGGTAAAATTCAGCTACAGTGAAAGCGTCAAAGTAAATGGCGGTGAGTAGTTGCAAGTCTCTGATCCACCTACGATGGATGTTACTCCTCGCGGTAAGGACGGCGTTGCCTGGAATCGCGAGGAAGAGGGACCAGAACATCACGGCTCTTGAAACGTTCGCAGAGTGTGGCCCATGGAAATATGCTAGTAGGGATAACTCGGTCTATTTCACAAATGATTTTTGGGCATGACACAAACAGGGACAACTGTATACTGCTCAAACAACAGCTGAAGCACAACGGTTAGAATCAAGAACGGCATAGTCATTTATTTACAAAACTAGATACTCGGTAAAATAAGCATACAAGTAAGTGGGAGACTACTAAAATAATATATGGCTCAAGAGTGACAGCAACTAAATGTGGCAAAAGTTTTTACATACGGAAAATTAATGTAAACGGTTTTTAAAGAATGCTAATTACAAACCATCGATAAAGATATAAACAACGACTTGTAAATAATACCCTGTAATAAGGCAAACCGCCTGTGTGATACATGTAAGACACATTATGATCACATACATACGCTTGGAATATGCAATATCATAGATGTAAGATCATTTCGTTAAGTCATCCAGCCAAAACATAGGAGGAGCTATCACGGGCAGCCACCGTGGAAATTACACAAACAGTACGTTTTAAGATAAGTAAGGTATAACGCTTGCCAATTACACTCAAAAATTTCAATTAATAAACAAATGTCAAGTTGAGAAAAATCAGAATTTCTCATGTTTTACGTCCTGTATTTAAGCCCTTACACGTTACTTCAGACGACTGGCTTTCAGCACGAAACGAGGCGTTTCATCAACCGGACTTAAACCTGAATCACCACGATTCCATAACTTTATCTGGCATTCACATTACCCAAGGCACTATCACAGGGATAGAGAATAAAATGTATTTTTTTGCTTTTAATCAAGAAGTTTATCAAATAAGCTGCATTTAATAAATGAACAGCATAAAATAACTGCGTGTCTTTAGCAAAAATAGGAGCAGTTGAAATAACTTTATTAAACCAGTATAGTCACCTTGAGTTTATCGAGAAATTATATTCCCATATTTCGGCCTGACAAATTTCACTGTTCTTAGGATGAATGAGAGGGATAAGCAGAAAACGAACCCATAATCGTCGCGAATATAGTTTTCAGAGTTATATATAGAGAGGTCTAATGTATCAAAAAAATTTATTAAGTCTCGAAAGGCAGTTCCTACATCATGTACAGAGACATGTTTGCCACCGTGATTCTTGTAGTATATGATCAAGCCTTGTCGTACAACGGGAGTGGTTGATTCCTGTTCATGATGGGAAGTTTTTTCATCATCTAATATAATAACAAGGTACTTCAGCTTTAATTGATGAACCAGCTTTTATGAAACTATGATGGATAACACCTGTATTAGCCCATAAAACAGATATTATAAATATATAGCAAATATGTCATCATCCTCTGTGGCTATGACACTTATCGTTGGTTACTACAGCAACACCAGGTATCTATGCTTCTCAGTAGACACGCTAAGGATTCTGGCCGCAATGGTGTTCTGCTAGCTCCTCCCGCAGTATAATGATGCTGTCTTATCGAACTGTAAGGTGGATCTATTAAAATCTACTCATGTATTTAATCATTTAGCCAGATGAGCGAAATAAGGACCAACAGCATTAATAAACAATAATATAAGTGAAACTTACAATAAACTCTACCACACCTCTACCCGCTCTTTATCATCGATCCTGAAGCCGGATCTGGAAACTCTATATACGCCTCTTATATTTGGTTGTAGTCTCGTAAGTGCAGTACTACGTTTGGCATAAATGCTCTTATCACTGAATAAGTTTCTTAACACAATGGGTATAACTACAGTGGGGCCGCTGCCAAATTTATATTTTAAGGCTATGGGATCTTCAAACACTATAACCAAAAACCTTCTATTATAGTTCAATCACAAAGCTCAGACGAGACCCTTCTCGATTTATCTCAGTTTCAAAAGTGACTTTGAAACTTAATAAGTTTGTTTTAGATGCTTCCAGAGGCTAATTATAATAAGCCGATCCCTTTAAGGTATCGAATATTTTTGTGATTTAAAACCTAATGCGCTGGTATTTAGCTCCATTTACTTATACCGGTCATCATCGGCATTGGTATAGAAAAGGAAACTTAAGTTATGCAGAAACAGTTAATTAAAAGTTCCAACATACCTTTGTTTGCAGTACATGGTTTTCAGGTTTTTGTAGTGTGCCTGAAAAGGAATCCGGCGTTAACAATAGCTACCGGCCAACAAAATAAAAGCTTTAGTAAAGCCCACGATGCTTTCTTTTTCAACATTGGTAATCTACACAGTTGAGATAATTATTATTTTTATTCTATTCGTGTTGAAACGCTTCGCTTCTAGATTTTTCTTCAGGTTTGGGAATAAGTAAAAGTCACAGAAGACTAAGTTCGGTGAATACGGGGCATGGGATAACACAACATTGACTCTTTTTGCAACATTTTTTTACGCCACTCGAGTAGTGAAAAGTGTGGCAGTTCGTTATTGTGATGTAAAACTTATTGCTCTCTTGTGTTGGGCAGAATCTCGCGATTTTCTTAACTTTCTTCTTTTCTTCTTTTACTAGTATTCTTTGTTGACCGTGAAGTTGGGAGGTATAGACTCATAATAAACAGTAGCACGAAAACCGAAGGAAATCGTGAGGAAAATATTAGCATTAAATGCAATTCGTTGCCAAGCATTTACTTGCTAGTCATTCAGCTGTTGCGGCACAAACTTTTCCGGCACAAACATTTTGGCATTTAAACGGTCACTCAAACTGGTCTGACATCAGCCAGTTGGGATGTCTGTTTCTTCTGCTTGCTTCCCTATGGTGACACGATTTCCCATGTTTTTGTCCGTGATCGCTGCCAAAAGCGCTCCAGGATGAGAATCGTTCTCAATGGGCTTCTATCTTCGAAACGCTTGAACCTGTTTACTTACGCTTTACTGACTATCTAGTTTCCGAGCATATTCTGAAACATCCGCAGAGTGTCTGTGCAATGGATTTTTGGAAAAATCGCAAAATGCCCAACACCTAGACTTACTCAATTTTACTGAAAAACTCAAGATTTCGCTAGATTCTTATGAAATTTCACTTGGGTGTAGAAGGCCTGCTCTTTTTGCTTACATGCAGTGTTCCAGTAGCGCGAGAATATAATGACTTATTCATCCTGAACAAAGGGTTATTCTCTGATTAGAATATACGATTGCAGAGGTTTTTCTGAAATTAGACCTCAAAAGCGAGCGCACAACTAATTTGAACTGCATCCAGGGTTAAGGTACTTAATAACAACTGCAGCACAAAGGTCTGTTTTAATATATCTGAACTGTGTAAATTAAACTGCAGCATGCCTTCCGCGTAGCATTGATATGAGACTAATCTAGTAGCAGTGGTGACATATTCCGCGCAAGTTCGAGCGACTTCTAAGATCATCTTAGTCAACCCTAAGAGGTCCTACGCCGAATGTGTCAGCATTATATAAGATTGAAACTAAACAAATGCAACTTTATAGCGATCGAGTCACAGTGCTTAGGTCACATATTGAGCTGAGAGAGGTTAGACCAGTACTCGACAAATTTAGAGCGGTCGAAGACGAGATAAGGTCGTCCCCATGATGATATAGTGAAACCTGTTTGTCTCTTTTATTTTTTGACCCGTTATGCAACCAAATAATTATAAAAAAAACTTATTGACTGCTTTTGTACTACACTGGATATATTTTCTAAAGGTTTTTTGCGGTCCTGAGCAATTTCTCCATGGCATCTGCAGCTTTTTCTACCCTTAAGCCAAGAACACCCCTTAAATATTTTATATTGCTTGCTCGCATATTATTCAGCACTCCCGTTTTCGAATAGGAAGAAATTTTTTAATGGTCTTTTCCTCTGTAGCTCACCTATGTGGCATTCGTCTTGCTCCCCTTTTTTGTTAAATATTCCTCTGCAGGAAGTGGTTTTTCGCGGCCAAACTCTCTTTTCCGCAATATCGGCCACTGTCACAAATTGGGAACGATACTAATGGTTGGACCCGGGCCAACTTCTATGAACGGATCTGGCCTACGACGGTGTATTCCTGTCAGTGATCTGACCTCCCACAACGATGTGGTGATACGTGACACTCTGACTAGAGTCCGCGTTCATTGTCTTGCCTCCCATAATCTACAATTAGATTGCGTAGAAAAGGGATATTCCTAAAGTATTAGTTTAATTGCTTAGCTGTTGTTACGGGCTGCACCCCGGAACACCAGTAGAGAGGTATCGATTCAAATTACCCAAGTGAAGAGATAGAGCAGTTCTTGAACGAAGTGGTGTCATGTTTTAATATGTTTAAAATATGAGCTTTATGAAAATCTTCTCCTCCTGTATATAACAAAGAAATGCATGAGCACGAAAAGAAGTCGGAGCTTTTGAAGACGGTTAAAATTCGGACGTGGTTATCATGGCAAACGGCTCACTGAACTATAGAGCATGCGATGTCTATTATAAAGAGATCCGTTATAGTTTGGATCATCCTACGGATGATAAAAACTGCTGTCACCGTATGCAGCCACCCGAAGTAGAAAACCCAGAAAGTGCACACATTTTAATAGGCCGTTAAACAGGACTTTGGTGCAGTTATTTGATTGCACGTCGTAATTGAAGGCACGTTGTAAGCCTTGTAGGTAGCATTGTACAAGGCATAGTTGCTGACCTTACGAAGGTGGCGTTGGCTTATTTTTCCGAGCTAACTTGCTGTTTTCTTTGTATCCGCTGGCGATAGCAAAAACGACGGCGATGTTTTGTCGAAAGTTGAAGACAATATTGAAGGCTAGAAAGATACCAGTTAAGCTGAATTAAGCTAACTCACTAAAGCTTGTTATTCAGTACGGCAGTTCGAAGAGAATACAGCATTTTATAAACAAAAGTAACCGGCTCGGAGAATACCCACAGACGAATAGTAACTACGTCATTGTAATACTAAGATGCAAAATTAGAGAAAAAAAAACTTAGTAAATTAAGAAGAATACCAACCTGAAAATCTAAAGCTATGTGTAGTAAAAAATGAAGTATGATGGAAGGAAAAATTATGCATACATAAATGAAACCAGAGAAGTATGCGTATTCATAGCTCTGAGTGATCTTAATGATGCTTATTTCGATCTGAATTTAGAAAAACACGACCAGCGTAGCGATAAATCCATGTTCAACATCGGTCAACCAAGCACACTAGCCGACTGTTTTTATGATGCCTATTACATCTACTGTAAAAGATATAAACCCGTTGGATATTATTTAAGGTGTCATCGTGTTGCATTTTGTTATGGAGAATCGAACAAAGGCTCGAGAAGAAAACGAGTAAAGATTCGTAAAACAGGGCGCTTGCATATGAGAAATGTGCTGTTGAAAGCTTGCGGATCACAAATAGCTCCGCTAGTAATAGCTTTATAATAATAGTTGCAATTCTTGAGCCATACGGGGATTAATTCCAGTCATTAGTATGTTTAGAAAAACTATGCACTAAAAAGCCAACAAGCTTAAGGAGAAATATAGAAGGCAAGATATCACGTGGTACAGCATTTCTGAACTTTGAGCCAGAACAGTATGGAGTGCTAAATCGATATATAGTGAATAATTCTTCTTCGAACACTGATTATTATTAGTTTATTATTTCTATAAAATAGTTGCTCAAAATGGAATATTCAATGCAAATTAAAGTCCTTTAATGAACCTAAAACACCCTCGAGCGTAAATAGAATCGTTTATAGTTCATCTCATGCCTCAAATTCAAAACTGGTCGAATCGTGGTATCAACCAGGTATCATTATAGAGACATTAGTTAATGGATCTTGGAGCATTTAACTGAAATTGAATTTTTCGAAATTGCCACATAAACGAAATGCTGTTTCGTGGGTAAGCTATATTCAAGCAAGTTAAATTTTAAATATAGCACAGCTTCCGGCACTGCATTCACTGGGCTGGAACTGGAGCTACGACTGGCATCGCAATTATCCGGTGCCGCCACCTAGCAGCGGTTAAACTTCGCTTACGACGCATCACTGTTTTTCTAGTAGAACAGCGATTTGTAAAAACTTAGTGCATGACTAAGCTCTTTTAAGCTACTATCTTCGTTGGAGTATTACCCTCATCGCATACAAAAAAGGATCCCCGTGAGTAAAACGGCCAGAAAATGATCAGCCTCTCTTCAGTCACAGTTCTTTTAATATAAATGTTACGTGAATTCACGTTAAACCACTTACGCAAACGGTTTCCACTATAAGCACTTTATGATATTCAGTAAAATTTCTAGACGTAAATAACGTGAAGAAAAAAGATTATGTAAGAATGCAAATTTTAATTTAAATATATAAGTAAATAAAATTTATCGACACCTTACCCAGTTTTACCGGACGTTGTTTTCCACTTTCGTTATTACTCATAGTATTATCCACCAGAAGCAGGGTATAAGATGCGACACTTCTATATCAAGAGCGTTATACTCAGACTAGGATCTCGATACCACAACGTCGACCGATGCAACGTACCACCCCAAAAGAGGGCACTTAATGCAACTTGACGAAAATCAGGGCTTATGGTGCAACCAATGTCCACCCTCCGAATGTACTTTCTGACTGGAATTCTCCGGAACAGCCCCTCCTTGGCGTGGTTTGATGTTTTGAATCAACTAGACACTCCTCCTACACTGTCGCACAAAGTGTCTCATCAATTACCGACTATTTATAACAACGAAAATTAGGACTATTTTCAGCAATAACACTACCTCTGTAGTCTGTGAGTACCAGCTCACTTGTGAGGGTGAGGCGAAGGGTGACAACAGCGAGTATTTGAGGCGCCCTCTGGTCCACGTAAATGCAAACCCCAGTATCGCGCCAATTTTAGGACCCTTTCGCAGTATAATACGGCTTTGACAAAGCCACAGAATTCACACAAAAAAGAAAGCACGAAAAGCTCAATGAAGATCCGCGGCAATGTCCTTGTATGCTCAGATTGACCATAGAATTCAGTTATTTATACATGCGAATTTTTATAAAATAAAAATACGTTTGTACACATTAATAATAGGATTTTAACAATAAAGCCAGGAGTTCCGCGAATGTAATATCTGACCATTTAAACAACTTGAATATCGTGAAGAACATTCCTTAGAAATTTTATCTGATTAGCATTAGTAATCTGAGTTTTTAAGCTTATTCATGTTATCCTACAACTCGACCTATGCACGGATGGTACGTCGTGGTCGATCAGCGAACTGAATCTTAAAGATATATTTCTATCGTACCGTAAAACTTATGCAAAGCTCGTGTCATAATGTAAAGCGATTTGAGAATGCCAAAAAGTAAGGACCGACATCAGTTGCCTAGTTTGCCAGGGTACTAGCCAGGATATCATGACGATCTGATGTTGTGTACCGCAACATTACGTCAGCACTTAAGTGCGTTTCTAACAGTAAGATATTTTAAATGTTTACTTTCCCTTTAGCTCACTGTCGTTTCTCTCCTTTAAAATACCATTAAAAAGTGCTTTCTTCCTTCTTTTGTAATGGCCCGTTTTAATCTCATTGTGTGTCGTCATTTTAAATTGAAAAACTTTTTTTTTTTGTAAAATTTTTTTTGCAAGAATCTAAGATGAGATTTGACATATGGAGTACACACTTTATCAAGGTCAGCTGTCCAAGGTCGATAAAAATCTTGGATAGCAAACAACTTACAAATAAGCCGTCAAGGCAAACTGTAAATGCTCGACTACTGCCAAGTATCTTAAGTCTATAGAATCCTATAATAACTGCATAGTCTAAACAGCCCATAGAACCCACAAGGAAATAAGTTTCTTATTGTTTCTCAACACTACCCAACATAGCCCACCATCAAACAATGCGCAATGCAATAACAAATACCTCTAAAAAAAAGCCGACAAACATCTGTATATAGTTCAGTTGCATCAAGTAAACGATTATAAAAGATCCTATAAACAAGGCAAAAATCCATGACAATGCCAAACTACACATGGGAAAGTTAGTAAGAGCTTAAGTGCAGTTAATATATACTCCGGCCATCGCGCCGACGTACCATAGCTTTTTCGGGTCACTAGTCTGCTGATCAACTAGAAAGTTTCAAAAATTAGTTGAACAAATTTCTTAGCATGGAACCTAAAAATTTGCGGCGAAACAGAATACAAATATCTGTTGGAAAATGGAAACAGGTCGTAAAAAGTTTCGGTTAAACTAAAAACTGCCGTTACCCTTCAAGCCAGCTAATATTACGTACATCGATGTCTATTTATTACTGCCGTTAGTTGAACGAAGACAGCATAAAACCTTTTACTTTAATTGATACAGAAGGGGGCTGATAGCTATTTCAAGGTATTTTCAACACTTTTTTGAAACGGATAGAAGATGTTGACCTAACACGTGCTGCTTTAAAACTTTCGGGTCTGGCGTCTCTTCGAAGACTACCATGGAAGTCGTGAAATGCGCGCGTTTGGCCTCATAGCCACGCAACCCTAAGTGCATTTTCCTCCGGCATTAGTCTTACTCTCCACATTACAACTCCTAGTTACGGAAATACGTTCTTTGATAAAAAATATTTACATGCGTAAAAATATTTTTCTGCGAAAGCGTGTGGTATGGGAAATTTTTATCGGAGGCAAATAGACAATAAACATGATATAGGAATAAATAGCCTACTCACTTTCAAGTTCTCAAAATAGATGACTCAAAATAGATATGAAGATTCAAGAGTTACTTCGTATCAGTTGTTTATAAACAAACGCATACCACGACCTTTTGTATTTGTTTGTTAGGTTCTAGTAATCGATTACTTGCAGTAATCGATGCAGATACGCCGATCAAAAGCTTAATTTTCTTGGCTGTTTGGCGTACATCTGTTGAAGAAAGTAATGCTTATCTAATAAGCATTACTTTCTTCAACTGCAAAAAGGAGCAGTAACATGGTTACTTTGCCTTTTACTTTGAATCCTGTTCTGCCTGCATATTTCTTTGAAAACCTACGTAGTATTTTTCCCAAACTTGTGTAGCCTTACAGCATACACAAAAGGCGCAATGTTCGCGTGTTGTTACCCTATTTCAATGTTATGGTATTCCTTTATTGACACGTCTTATTGTTTTGTCATCCATGGCTTATATCTTAGGTGTACAAGTAATTCAGTCCTGCTACTGAAATGGAGGATAACTCGTTAAAGAGTTTATGTAGACCTATTTTTCATAATTGGTCATATTTAGGCTGCAGATGAAGATGTTTTTCCTCGGGCCGCAGGCCGTTCTAAAATTAAGAGGTGGCTAATGCAGTTTATAATAATACGTTCATTAGGTAGGCCTGGCAGGGAGCGATTTAGGTTTATTTGAAGAACTTAACTGCATATGTTTGCGGTATGCTTCCTGTTGCAGGGTCTTCATATAAGCATGGAAGGTGGAACATTTTGTTAATGTTACATAGTCTCCGCTTGTTTTCAGCAAGCAGACTTCGTTTATTCTGTGCTCGAGTGGCCTCTCTTATCGCACCCTTATCCTATCAGTTTCTCAAGACGTGGTTTTATGCAGACGTTTGTGGCAGCTTTTTTCGTCTACTCTGCACACGGTCCATCCTACCTTAATGTATCCTTATCCGATAAACGGTTGCATTGTTTTAGTAGGTAGCTTGACGATGCAGAAGCTATTTCTACAGCGCGTTTGCTTACATAGGTTAGTCCCGATGTCAGTGACCGTCACGCCGCTAGAGGACAGTGCACTGAAAATGTCTGTCTGAGTTTCTTTATGTCTTCAAGCGCACCTTGGTTTAGGCAACCACAGTTTCTTAGTGGTCGAATTGGGTTTGTGGATTTTCCAGTACAGTGAATATAATGAGGTGTTGAAAACACCGGCTGCCTTTTTTGTTTGTTACCGAGAGCTAACCACGTGTGCTAACTGATT